CTATAATTTCGTGCCCCGTTTTACTTGAGAAAGTATATTATTACCATATTAATTGGTCAGGCTTACAATGATGATGAATGTTGCAGGCGGCAGTGTCGCCCGTTGGCAAATGTGTACGTATAGTTTCGGAGTACACTAGAGTACCGTCAATTACTTGTCAATTTACTTATAAGTGTTATGTACTAAAACTTTCGCCTCTTTTTTTTCTTATTTCATTCACTATTGTCTCTCAACTATATGCATGTAAAGGAAACTCTTTTAAAGATACTTGTCTTAATTTCGAGTCTTTCGTGCAGCCATTTCATCCCCAACGACACATTCAGTTATGCACAAACTGTGTAATTATATTTTTTAGGGAGCGAGGCGGTATTAGGTCCACAAACGCACAGTAGTCCTCCGCCCATCGAGCAGCGCGTGGGAAGGCAAAAGTTACGACCTGGCTCCGGCTTCTTATCTATCAGAGTAACGACTGATGGGCCGACACGGGTACTGCAAGTATTGGATATCAAAGAAAGGGTAATAAAAATTCATTATTTTTTATTTGTAATTTTTAATTCGATACTCTATTAATTTGATAGTTTCTCAGTTTCTCAATTTCTCAGTTTCTCAATTCCTCAATTCCTCAATTTCTCAATTTCTCAATTTCTCAATTTCTCAATTTCTCAATTTCTCAATTTCTCAATTTCTCAATTCCCAATTTATTTGTCAACGACTAATGAATTATTACAGAAGAAAACCTTCGCTTTGCTCGAAGAACGTGATTGGTCGCACATCGCCGTCAGCCACCGTCCAACTCAGATAAACACAGACGCCGAGAGCTTAAACTCCAGAGAGCTGGAACTGAAAGTAAACCTAACAGCCGGGATAGGATTATCAATTGTTTCACGAAGGCCCGTCGAAGAATTGTTATTTGCTCGGTTAGCCGCCATCTCGTTAGAACTTATACAAACCCCTCTAAACACCACCGTTGATTTAAGCATAGAGGATATACAAATCGACAATCAATTATTCGAAGCTCAATGTACTTCAGTGTTATACGTTACCCGGGCAGCGCGCATTGACAGCGAGCACCGGCCAGCGATTCATTTGGTAGCCGAGAAATTAAAATCCAAGAATCAGAATGCCGAGATTTACAAACACGTGATAGTGAGCATCAAGCCTCTCTGCATACACTTGGAAGAGAAATTGATTTTAAAACTAGCCGCTTTCGTCGGGGCAGGAAGATCAGAGCTAGAAGTGCCGGTGGACGAGAACGATTTCAAAGCTCAGAGGTTTATTTCTGAAGTGTCTGCAGCCCACGCGAAACGGTATTACTTTGGAGCGCTGAAAATTGTCCCCAGTCAGGTGAAGTTAAGCGTATTAACCACCACAAAGCTACCGCGGCATCTCCAAGCGATAAAAAGACAGCTGGGCTTGACCCTGATCAAATTCGAGGACGCTACCATAGAGTTGGAGCCTTTCATTAAGAAGCACCCATTCGAAAGTACGCAGTTCTTGGTGCATTCCATTATCAAACACTACAAAGACGACTTGAAATGGCAAGCTGCGGTGATACTGGGATCCGTGGACTTCTTGGGCAATCCCCTTGGTTTTGTCAATGATGTCACCGAAGGCGTATCCGGTTTGATCTATGAAGGCAGCGTGAAAACCTTGGTGAAGAACGTGACGCATGGTATCTCCAACTCAGCTGCCAAGGTCACGGAGTCCTTGTCCGACGGACTGGGACGAGTCATAATGGACGAAAGGCACGAGGAAGCTAGGCAAAGGATTAGAGCTAACACTGCAGGCAGCAGCGATCATTTGGTGGCAGGATTGAAAGGCTTTGGCTTTGGATTGTTGGGAGGTGTTACGAGCATCTTCAAGCAAACTTATGACGGGGCTGCTAATGAAGGTTTCCCGGTACGTGCAGATGTTTATTTTCTACTTAGTTTGGAGTGGATGAGTAATCATTCATATTTGCAGGGATTTTTTGCTGGTTTCGGTAAAGGAGTGGTTGGAACCATCACGAAACCAGTGGTGGGAGTGCTGGACCTAGCTACGGAAACTGCCACTGCTGTGCGAGAAACTAGTAGAAGGTTAATGAATTAATAATGATCAATTATATAATACTATAATGCTCATACTTTCGTAATAGTTTATTTTATGGTTATACCATTTATAATTGGAGGATTTGGAAATTATTGGTTTCATTAATTTGTAATTTTTATTGATCTACAATATCATACTGTACTTGCAATGAAAATTCTAGAATGAATTCCATGAAACCTCCAAGCTCACATTTTTGAAATTATTGTATTTAATATTTCCAATATTTATTTTTGAATTTTTGGTGCTTCCAGTGCTCATCGTACGATACCTAAAAGAGACAGACCTCCTCGAGTTTCAAGCGGTCCAGCTGGTTTATTGCCTCCCTACAATCGACAACAAGCAGAGGGACAAGAATTCCTCTACATTGTAAATGATCATGACCACTCAGAGTTATTTGTATCATATGAGTGTCTACGCAGCGGAACGGAGAACCTGAGGGTGTTAGTGTCCAATGAAAGGGTCCGTGTTATTTCTGGTGGTACTAAAGGGGTAGTGACCGAAGTCAGCTTGACAGACTTGTTGTATTGTCAGCCCATGCAAAAAGTGGAGAGTAACGGTGAGACGTTACATTACATAGAGCTGATATCTAGATCGGATTCAGCAGTGTCTGTCAATGTAGTCGGCCCCGAGCCTCTAAGAAGGCCCAAGGTACGGTGTGACAATGAAGACGTAGCCAAACGAGTGAGTATATTAATTAATTTACACCTCCTCATTCGGTAAAGAAGGTATTTGCAGACACCTGTTTCTTAAAAACGATTTTGATTCCTTGATATTATATTTGGAAAATTGTCATTGTTATGCAATAGCTTAGTTGGACATAAAGAATTTATGGACATAAAGTTAAAGAATTGAACTTTTTCAAGTTCAATAAGTTTCAAAGTTCCTTTGCTAGTAGTTCTTATATTAAGAAACAATTGTATAGGCAAATATTTTGCTTGTCCGCTGTACATTTGTAACAAATGCTTGAACGTGATTTTTTCAGGTATCGCAACAAATCAATTACGCCAAGGGAATGCACGAAGAACGCAATTTGACTCTCTCCTCGTCGGACAATATGTTGGACGACGTTCAGTACTATAAGTAGTTACAGGCGACTGTTTCACGTATCGTATATATTTCGTATGCTAGTCAGTCCTCTTAGGTTTTCTTATACTTTTTCTTTGCATCCCTATTTTTGTTTCCTTTTTCTAACCAGTGCACATAATGATGCCTTACTACGCTTAAACTAAGTTGATGATAAGACTGATGCAAGGCATCATCAATGTTGCGGCGTCTTTGATGATGTGAAAAAGTCTCGAGAGCGTAATAATATATATATATATATATATGTGTGTACATATATAATTAATAAAGATATATATATTATAAATATATATAATATATATAATATATTTATATATCTTTATAATATATATTTATATATCTTCATTAATTATATATATATGTTATGTATAAAAAACGTGAGAATATCGATTGTCGCACAGTTAGCACACTTTTGATACTATAATAATGAAATGGTGGGAGAAGATAATCTTTTAAAAAGTGCGAGTGACTTTTTTTTTAATTAATTCTGCATACATACTTACATATGTAAATGTACGCGCGCGTGTGTGTGATTGAGTGTATATATGTAAGTACAGTTGTAAAATATAGGTGGATAAGGTTACACGCTTATTCATTCACGATAATAATAATGTAATCGGATGCCGCATAAACTATAGAACTAACGAAAACCAAAGTTTTTACATAGGATAGAAACGATATTTATTTTTTAATTAACGAATTCGATATTTTGCATACTTTTGGTTCGAACAAATTGTATTTTTTAACAGTGTAAAGGACAGATGATAGTTGGAGAAACTTTGGAGAGGGCAATACCACTAACGAACGTATTATTAACTGTACATTCTATTTCTAATGTAACTCCGTGTGTAAAGTTAATCGACGTAAACTCTTGTACAGTCGTATTCATAGAGAATATCAGGAATATCAGATTTACTCGAATACTTTTTATAAGTCTGATGCATTGTACAGCTTAAATGCAATGTATATTGAATATAGGAGAAGAAAGTATTTGCACATCGGTATCAATTAATTTCAGTCGACAATACCATTTAACTGTAACAACTAAGTTAAAAGATTATTTTGATCAAACTATTGGTCAAAGGAAAAAAATGTTTTCATAAAATAATGAAATATTAAAAATTTTTTATTTTCTCTTTTATTGAATCACTATTTAAAGGGAGATTCGAGTTATGTACAAATACTTTTTTCGTTCTCTATATACGTAATATATATATGCACGTTGAAGTATGAATACAATAGAATCCGGTGAATAATATCGCGTGTAAGTTAATAAGTATCAACGTGTTGATAACATGTATAATAATCTATTATTGTATACAACGATTGTCTAGATTTGTTACATCCCGACCATTTTCACACTATCGATATAATTTAATAAAGAAATCCTTCTATTTTGTTCGATAAATTTAATTGTCTAATTGTTTTGTTCGTTTATCAGTGTTGTTATCCGTTGTCGGAATCATTGAGTAACGTTATCAGTCGATAACACATTATCAAGAAACAAATTTAGGCATCAGGAGCATGGCGGCTCTCATGATTACTTGAAATGTCAAATCGCTGATCGAAATTCCTTGCAAACCGTTGTTAATAATAACGACAAGTATCACCAGGTGAATAAACATATCGGGTGTAACGTATCCTTGGAATAATTTCAACGTCACGACGTTGAATAATTATCTTTCCAAGATACGCGAGAGAATTATAACCTCTAACAATGGATGAAACATATTTCGACGAAGGACCAGCGGGAAATTTTGAAACAGCCACCCTAGAAATCTCCAAGGATTTAGATGGAAATGAACAGAATAATTCGACCCCCGTGTCTGGCGGTGAGTGTCCGTTTTATTGGCATATTCTGCTGATGTTAGTGCAGCATTCTGCAGTTCATTAATAGACTACGGATTTTTCAATAAACATCAACATTTATGAATTACTTTACGGCGATAACGATAAAATTAAAATTGATTCTATCGGTGAAAAGATTCGATAAGATAATATTAACGTAAGAACTCCGTTAGTTCTTATTGAACTTCCATTCTGCTTTACGGTTGCTGCATATTCTATAAATACATACCATCTACAATTTAATTGTTATGAATTATATTAAAATATTTACTTTTCTTCCTTAACTATAGCATTTTATATTGGTAGTTATTCTTCTTAGTGAATGAAATAAATAAGTATAAAATGTATATTCTTTAATGTTCATAAGATGTCAACGTTGCAAGGAAAAATACAGAAAACCAAGGGAATAGTGTGAATCAAGTTCCAGCATCAAGGGATGTTTCTACTATTCCATTTAAACATATAGATTTTCACTCGTTCTTTACTGATAGGAATGAAGTCGTGGAAAAAGCTCTGAAAGATTGTCAGGAGAGTTTGATAAATGAAGAAGAAAAGGATATAGTTGGAAGTTGGCTTCTAACAGAGTAGGAAGCTGTTCCATACAAATTTTATTTGAATGCAATGTTTGGACAATATTTAATGATAACATTTGCAGAATAAGTCTGTGGGATACTGAAAAGGAGAGACTAGTTCTACTTACTTGGAAAGCTATTTATTCAGTAAAATATGATTTTATTTCCTTAAAGATACTGGAGTATAATCGAATACCTTTATCACAAATCGATACAGTGGTTTTTGGTGAACTGATCTATCCACCTTCGTCTTTAGCTCCGTAAGTATTACAATTAGTTTGAAAGTTACATACCTTTATTATCGTACAACAGATAAGACAGAAAGAAAATGTGGCTCTATAAATTCATGAACCAATGCATTTGATAATTTTTAGACGATTAAGTGGATTGGCAGAGGGTGTGTCTTCAATATTTCATTGTGCAGTTCGTCAAGACTGGTCTTCACTTACCTCTTGTACTGGTCTTGCACAATTTGAACCTAGGTATTTTAAGCTGTTATAGAAAGACAACAATCCTCTTATTTTACTCAGTCTTTAGTTGATTCACTTTTACAGTCCTGATGCTTTGTAATAGTGTATCTGCACTTGAAGGTAAGACACAAATATTTCTGAAAGTATTAAAGGTATGCAAAAATATTTAATAAAAGTTACATAGTGTTATATATTTATTAAATGAATAAGGTAAGAGTTACAACAGTCGAGTTTTGTTTTGTAAATATGCTCCCTCTCTATCACAACGTGTAACTTTTATTAAACATATTATTTGTATCTTCAATACTTTCAAAAATATTCGTTTGTTACCTGTAAACGCGGATACCTTCTGTAGTTACAAATCCACAATATTCGAATTTTTATTTGATTTGGAAAGACAATCTAAAGTAAAATAATTGTATCCTAGACTGTTTCTCTATTTTTGCATGTAGAATTATCTCTTGACTACTTCACGTGATAAGCTATGTATATATATTGTTTTTTTGTTTATGGATGCATATTTTAACCACATTTTTAATTGTATACTGTATTTATCTGTAAGTTTGTGCTTACTTGAAACTAATGTCTTCATGAATATAGTATTTCCTTTAAAAGTATTATTATACATTGGTATGTGGGCATTTGATCACATACAATAAAGTGTGCATTTTTTAACATTATGTTACTACACTTAACTGTTCAGAAAACGATCTATATCTGGCGTGAGACTGATGTGGAATAAGGGAGATCCCTTACCATTAGGTAAGAAGTGGAATCCGTTTGCAAAAGATATACCATGGCTAACATATTCCAATCATCCGTTATTTTGGTACAAAGGTAAATTTATGTTCGAGTATTACTAATAACATTAATACATCATATACATTTTTATTTTATCCTTTCCAGGATCAGATATAGAAAAAGCAAAGTTTGACGTTGAGGGTTTGCATGCAACAATTCTAAATGTATTGCCCGTGGAATGTAACATTAGAACTGGATCCATTATCATAGAAAATTACTTTGGTTTAGGTGCATTAGTACACAACAGAAATGGACTGGGCTTTTTCAAAATACGGGGTAAAATCAGCTTTTGAGGAGAGCATTTGCAAATAAGAAACATCTTTTTCTTTGAACTTTCATAAATATTCCTATTTCAATTCTTAAAGTCTATGTATACTAAAATTTTACGTATTTCTAAAATTTACTATACTTATAAGAAAAAAAAATATCAAAATTTCTAGTGATATGTAAGCAAAATTTACAGCTAATCTGTTCTATTGTCGTCAGACTTTCAAATTGTATCAAACCAACCCAGTATATGTTCTCGATTATATCAATTGAATTGTACATTTCTCTCTCTATATATTTTAAATAATTGTATTCTGTATATGAATTTTTACTCTGTACCTGGCTGATAGGAAAGTTACAATAAGTATATAAATATATGTATATCGTATTAGAATAATTGACACACCTTTACTGTGTAAAATTAAGTTTTATAATTCTACATTATGAAAGTTACGATTAGTGTTGCTTATAATAATAAATAAAAATTCTAAAACTATTAAAAATTTAATAATAATCTGTATTAATAAATACACTAAACACTGTAGAATTGTTTACCATCCGGAAACAAAGTTACAAATTTAAATGTTGACTCTGGGACATCCTTTTTCATTTCCAGAATTCGGAACAGAGTTAAATGTTTTCTTTATGTAATAAATCTAAATGTTATAATTGATTGTTCATTCTCACGTATCTAATAAATATTTCATTAATAATAAAGAATACTCTTGTCCAATCAATTAAGAAGCCATTCAAATATTAAAAGAAGACATACAATTTTCAAAAATCCCGCTTCTTTAGACTTAGAAACGCCATCTATTGCAAAAACGCTCAAACTTCTAGCCAAATAGTACCAAATTCTTCTCGCTAGATGGCGCCACTAATAAAAACCCATAGAAAATTATAATTCATTCATGGCGCCATCTAGTGAAATAAATCCAGTACTATTTGGCTAAACGTTTCATCATCCTTTCAATAGATGGCGCCACAAATCCTACATAAAGACGCGGGGTTTCTGAAATTTATTTATTTTTTAATTATTCTTTTAATATATTAACTATAAACTTTTTAATTTATTAGACATCTCCGTCTGATAAACCTCTGTCTTTCACGCATATATCTCTCCTTGTCTTACTCATTACGTTCATATGGAACACAATCAACCCATCCGATAATCGCCAATAACTCATTAATTACAAATCAAACTTAATTCATACTGCTACTTAATGTTCCTAAAGATCCATTCTAATTTCTTCAATCAGAAACGTGCATCAATTATTCCCATTAACTAAGATACTTAATCTATTACCCGGTCCCTCGCAAGAAATTCAAGACTAACCTACGACATAGTTCCGAAAAATAATTTATATTCAAATAACACGGAACGAAATCCCCCGGACCCCCATA